GCAGGGGCAGGGGTAGGGGCAGTTGCGCAGTTGCGCAGTTGTGCAGTTGTGCAGTTGCTCAGTTGCTCAGATACCGGTCCAAATTATCCGTGGTTCAGAGCGGATTTCGAAAATTGAATGCTTTTAACTCGCCAAATACGTGTAGCATGGAAACGATTTATGTTGATGAATCGTGTACGAAAATGATTAAAGCAAAACAAAACTACCAACATGACGCTTGACGCTTTTTTAACACAGGTCAACAACCACTTTCCGATCCCAATGGACTTATTGTGCAAGAAAGAAGATCAGTTGTCCTGTGTCGCAACGATTCAGCCTGACGGCGTGTTTAGTGTTCCCCTGATATTGGCTCACAAGGCTGCACTCTACCTCAGACCTGCGGGATTTGGGTGTGTTTATTTTACTGTGATCTGTGCTTTGAAAATGACAGCTGCGATCAATTCATGGGATAATTTGATCGAATTAGTTTACTTTATTGGTTATGTCCCATTGACGTTCGCGAATATAGAAACATTTATTTTTTTGGCCTGATGCTATTTCTACAAAACTGCAATAAAGAGCGATTTTGCTAGGTTTTACGTGACGTCGATTCCCCAGTTATCTTTTCAACTCACAAGATCCGATTGTTATTTCTCCCCATAGGCAGCTACATTTCCTTTCATAGTAGTTACAAGTATTTGGTGTTACATCAAGATAACAACTTCTACCTGATAAGTTTGAGTATTCTCATTACCTGTTTGCTGGATAATGTATGGATATTACAAGGAGAAGTTACATGTTAATCTCTTCAGGGAGTTGAAGGATTATAAGCGTGTTTAAAGGCACGGAATCACGGTTAAGCGCATGCGTGGAGTGCCAGCATTAAATTCGGATTAAATTCGTTGGGTCAACGGTAAATTAACATGTGATATCGCTTGAACAATCAACCTGAACTCGCTGTAAGCTTTGACCATCCTTCGATCTCACAGTGCTTGTTGAATTGTTTGATCATCGAACTAAGTTTTAGCGTAGTTTTTAAGCGCTAATTTTCAAGATTTGGCAAAAAATTTTGAGAATAAAGGTAAAGACAGACCGGTATGGACTCCCTATCTGCCTTAGTTGTGATCAAGATCTGGTCTGGAGAAATGAATACAGGATATCTTTCAAAAACTAACAAGAGGCCTGAAAACGGTTTAAGAAAAAGACTCAATCATGAAAGAAATTAGACATTGCCACTGTCTGGTATAGTAACATGATACGTGTAACTGAATAATCGCCACCAACAGTGAGAAAAGTTAAACCCTCTGTGCACAGTTTTCAATTCGTATCTATTATTTTGTGATTTTGGTCTCAATTTGATTCAGTTCTGCATTAATTATTTATTGGCATCTGTAAAATGTAATGAAAGCATTTTCTGACTTTAGGACGAAGAAGACAATTTTTCGATTTCAAACTACTTTACTTCTGACAAATGTTTCTTTTTTTTGTTTTGTTTTTTGTGATGTTATGTTTTTTTTTTCTTATTTTTTATCTTAAGGTATGGAGCGAGTTCGACACCGCTGCTGTGGAACAAGTTGGCATCTCAGGGCCAATCTTCATTTCAGTGTCCCCCCCCGGGAGGCGAGGGACCACCTTTTCATATAGAGGTAAGATAGGTCAGAGGAACTTGTGTGTCGAAAGTAATCTGTGAAAAAAATTATTGTATTGTCGAAATTTTTCAAAGGTAAATCTTTAGGCTTATACAATTTATGTGTGAATAAAAGTTTGTAAAATGGCAAAATAAATGCTCTTGCTAACCGAGTGCGAGGTCCGTACTGTAAGTTACTGACTGAGTCTTCTTTTTTTTCGCTCCGATTTCGGGCAATAAATCCGAATGGAAATACGAGATTCTGTGACCTACAGTTCAGACCGACGTTAGTACGACATTTATTGTGTCACTGGATTCAAATAGAGGGAAAGATTTCAATTTAAGCAAACTTTGGAATTAAGTGGGCCGTACAGTAAAATACAGTTCACCTGCAGTGCAGTGCGGGCCGTACAGTAAAATGCAGCTCACCTGCAGTGCAGTGCGGGCCGTACAGTAAAATGCAGCTCACCTGCAGTGCAGTGCGGGCCGTACAGTAAAATGCAGCTCACCTGCAGTGCAGGCGTCTTATTAGGCAGGGCTCGACACTAACGGTAGCCAACTAGCCACAGACTAGTGGAAATTCAGTTTTGGCCAGTGGTTTCGATTTCCAATGGCCAGTTTGGCTGGTAAACAAACTGAAATTGTTGTAACATCTGAGTTGACACTAGCCACCTGGTTAGTGAGTTGAAAAGTTAGTGTCGAGCCGTGTTAAGGCGAGTTAACGATAAGGGACGCGATCGTCTATTCAACCGGCCATGTTTCATTTAGAGTTTGAGTCGACGGTAGGGGGATGGGGCGGGAAGGGGCGAAAAGACACTTTTTCACTCCCCCATCCTACCCCACTCCGTATTTTTTAACTGTCGCTCGCCCCCTTGGTACAAAGTTCTTTCTCTCCCCAACCTTCCACTTCCATTAAGATCAAAGATGACGGCCATAATTTTCACTAAGAAAGTACAGAGCACTCGCCCGCCAAAATTACGCCCGCTCTGCTCTGTAGGCTGATTAACATGCGGCACGCTAAATTGACCAATTATAGCGTACGTACTAACTTAGAAATCTGATAAAAGACGCTTATTTTCTGTTCAGTTAAATATTGAGTGGTTTTTGTTTTCATTCGTTATGGAGGACAAGGATCTGTTTTTAGACGAACAAGTATTTTGACTTTTTAGAAATTGAACATCAAATTGTATTCTGTTGTATGAGGATTGTATGAAGTTAAATTTGAACAATTGTTGTTCAGGTTGATTGTGAACAAGTATCGTACAGTGCAGTTCATGGATCTTTAGAGCATGCACCAAACTTCGTCTTACACATCTACCCACCGGCTGTTCTACACAACTACTTGCCATATAATATTCACTATTGGACACTGGTTAGTACAAAATGACTGATTCAATAACTGGGATACTACGCACGCTCTGATTGGTTAAAACTCCACCGTTTATTGTACTGGTAAACCCCTGGCTATTTCAGGTGCTTATAGGAATGGGTTTCTAAAGAAGATGTAGTGCTGCGTCGGTTGAGGCTATAACAAAGTAATTTGGTTTTATTAAGTGAGTTGATTATGCACGTTGGCCAACGCAGCGTGAGTAACTCTTTACGCTAGCTTATAGTGCATTTCACAGCTGCATGCTTGGTTGCCAAGCCTTTGAAAAGGAGTGAGGCTAAGGCTGACCATGTTATGATACAAACATTGCTCCTTTTCAAATGAAAATTACGTTGTTATTGTGCTTACTAGATACTGGTATCTATTACAACAAGGTCACCTTCAGCCTCACTCCAAATCAAAGGCTTGGCAACTAAGTAACAACAGTAAAATGGCCAATTAACATTATCCAATCAGGTGATAAATTGAGTTCATTTTAGTTGGACCGAGTATTTCACACATTTTGACGTCGTCTGCTATGTTTTACTTAACAGATGCATCTATTTGTTTATTTAGTGTATCAAAGATTAACAATAATGTATTGGAAATGCGGGCGCTGAAATCCGATCGAAGGTTCAGAAACAAGCTTTGTTCAGAGGATAGCAAAGAGAGGATTCCATTTCACGCTCGAATTTTCGAAAAAAAATAACGCATCACGTACATTTTGAACAGCATTTCACGTGTCACGAATTTAAAAGGTCTCAGGGAAATATTGAGGTTTTCACGAAATGAGAGAAAAAATTCACGGGCCGCGTGTATCTCAGGAATCAAATCACGCTTCACAGTGGTTCATGCAGACCAATCTTTATCAAATGTTATTGATATTTCCAATCATTTGAAGTGCATTGCGGAGGATTAATGTCACAAAATAATTGAGCTGCCACGTGCACTCTGCACTAGTAGTGAACCCGTTGTTTGTTGTACCGGTAAACCGATAGAAAACTGAAAATTGAAACTTATTTTATAAAAGCGGTAAACTACACTACCTTTCGGTTTAGCGAAGAAAATACTTGGGATATTGATAGAACATGCAATAAGCTTGTAAATCGCTCGCCTTGGGCTTGTGATATTATAAACTTTTCTCTTCAGTTCTTCCGGCCTAGGTTACTCTCCCGGTAAACCAGAAAGAAGTTCGGACTGCTGCTTACCTATCATACATTTCATAAGAACGCTGTTTCACTTTTAGATTTGAGGCTTGTCGCTTGCGTAGTTCGCTCGCAAGGCGGCGTGGGAAGGCGAGCGTTTGCCTCTTTCCGGCGTCCCAACCTCTAACTCCGCGCCTTAAAAGCTCTAGGGCAACGTCATATACGTTCCAACCACCCACATAGAATGTTTCGGGCGCGAGACGGGAAACTGGGACGATTTGATAAAGTTTAGTTATGGAGGACGTTGCTTTTCGTTGATCGTTTAGCCGTTCGATTCTTAATGTTTTTACGCTTGTTTTGTTAGGACATGCCTGTTGTTGAACTTAAAGGTGGCGAAAATTGGCCTTTGTTTTCTGTCAGTCTTCATCGAAAAGTCAATCTTTACATTAAGGTAACTATAGTATGTTATTGACGTTGTGTAATCCGAAATAGCCAACTTATGAACCTTACATACATACATAAGCTTTATTTATACTCGAATTTTAGGGTAGCTAACGAGCTAATATCCTCGAGCTGAGACTACATAAAAAAAGTAATATATAAATATACACACATATATATATATATATACAAAATAACGATAATAATAATAATTGATTAATTGACTAATTGACCCTTGCTCACCACAGAGTCTCCTGTAGCTCAGTGGTTAGAGCATCCGACTAGATCACGGAGGGTCGTGGGTTCAAATCCCATCTGGAAACTCTATTTTTCTCTTATTAAAAATAATAATAATAACAGTGATAATAAACACATAAATGTAAAGAAAAGAAATTATTATTTACAAATTGTCAATCTTAAGTTTAAGAATGTCAAGCAAAAAAAAAAAAGGAATCTATATGAACGTAACTTCTGTATTTTGGTTTTAAAGTCTGCAAAGAAACAAGTAGGAAAAAAGTCCGGCTGTGTATTCCACTGCTTAACTGAAAGTAAGAAAAGGATTTAAGACCATATGTAGTTGTATTCTTAATGGCGAAAGAAGTGAAAAGGAGACAAATCGCCATTCCTTTCTTATTTCTTCTACAGTCAGACTCAGTTTGTAGCCATCTTTCCAGTTAGGTCTTCAACTCTCCCTTAGCTCAGAAAGAAGTCATTTCCCGGGTACAGGCCCCAGTCGTTCAAAGTTTGGATAACACTATCCACCGGATAAATCTCTATCCGGGGGATAACGCTGTACATTTTGCTATCAGTTACCCCCTGGCTGGACCCAGATGGGTATTTCAATCAAAGCGTAATTTTCACCTCCTTTCAATTTCAAAGTGTCATCGTTTGTCTCACCGTTTGATCACTTCCGATGTAGATCGCAACGTTTTTGATTGTATACTGTCTTAATCAGGCGACCAGGTCGACTGATTATGCATCTAACCATTCGAAGAATCACGCTTGGCTGTGATTGGGTAAATTTGAACAGCCCGTCATGTGCGCATGTTCTTCTTCAGCGTTCCGCTGTCTTACTGCTTCTCTCCCTGTCGTCGTGTTTCTTGTTGCTTGGCATCCATGCCTCTGGTATTTCCATTCTACTATCACTGTTGATGTTCTCAGGGTAAAGCTTGAGGTAAACATTATTTTTATTCTTTAGACTGGCAGTTATCAAGGGAGCTTGTGGAGAGGCCAGGTTGAACTTTTCAAGGGAATGGACGAACTCACACCATTTACCTTGGAACCAACTGAGGCGGCGGCCTATGGAAAGCACTTGGTAAGAGTAGACAGAATAGGATTTAATTATATGGCAAAAACGAACATGATCCAAACAGTGCATGGGAAAATCTTACCCCAGTGTTACTTATAATATGGCACGACTGACAGTCAAAAATAGTGTTTATTATTATTAACTCTAAAACTAAATATTGTTGGCCTTAAGACCACGAGGGTAAATGAAACTTTCTAAGATTACCAAATAAACAGTTCTTTTGGTGTTGATTGAAATTTACAGTGTCGGTACATATTTAGAATTTGTTTGTAATGTTCGAGCGCCATTTTGAGGAGATCCGGTTTCTTGATTGTAGCTGCTGAAGATAGCAAATTCCTCTCACTGATTTCTACCCATTTGTTCCAAGCACTACTTGTATTCCATATTTATGTGGCTTACTTATTACAGAGGCTGGGAGTGTTTGCCACATTTGATGGTACAATGAACATAACCTTGTACAGCCCTTACTGGATGGTCAACAAAACTGGACTTTATCTGGAGTACAAGGTAGGAAAACATCTTTAGTGCGCTGGTATCCTTTGATGCTTTTGGTGGAGAGAAGCACTCTAATAGCTCCTTAAGTTTTATCTCCGCTATTTTTAGAGAGACAATTCTAGTCTTTACGCAGCTACTTGGCTGGCTTCAAATGATGTAATATCGATTCTCAGAGCTCTTCTATATTGCGAGAAGAGATCGAGAAATTGGCCTAAATCAATAGGCCATTTTCGAGTTCCCTAAATTCTCACTGCGGAGGTTGGGTCAAGTGCAAAAGCTTTGTTGCGAAAATGAGTTTTCTTTGTGTTAGAATTAAAAAAAAAAAAAACTGTTTTTGTATCGAAGACTTTGCACTTAGCCTCGTTTTCAAGCAGAGGCGTTGGGCATCGTTTGGGCAGCTTTTGGTTTACGAAATGGACAGTTTTAATTAAAGAATAATTGTCCAGGAAGCATGCGCGCTTAGTAACACGTTAGCTAGTGGTCACACCATCTCTTTGAACAGCTCAACTCGAAGACACATTTGTTGGGACACCTACTGTCTTCCTTGCCTCTCTCAATGTTGGTCTACAAGATGGCGTAGACGCACTGTCAATAAAGAACATTGGAAAGAGGAAAAGGGCGAAAGAACATCATAGATGTTGCTCTCGAAAAGTGTCTTATGTAATTTTGTCTAGTAATGTAGCTACTAATCTGTTTTGGCCTTGTGGGTAGTGTTTCACTTTGAACAAACACAACTGTGTCTAGTTTTTCTCTCCTTGAGTTGTTAAATAACGGGTTGATTTATTCCCTGATTTTAGGCTCCTGATAGCGAGACTGTTATACCTCATCCCGTGTCCTTGACCGAGCCAGTCATGTTTTCTTGCCGAGGAAAGGGAGAGGTGAGAATCTATTTTCCCGTCTCTTTTTACTCCTACTTACAGTTGCGTCATCCCTCTCTGTTACCTTTATTTTTATGATCTTTGTTTTCATGGTAAGAATTGTTATTATTTCTCTAACTTAATGATATTTGGCAGGCCTTCGTTCGTCTAGCTGCATCTGATTGGTCTAACAAATTTTCTCTGGACACGGCGGGCAGCGGTGGAGCTCTGAAAATCACGAAGGATGGGAAATTGTATGAGGTATTTAAAAAAGCTGTACTTAAAAAGAGGAGGGCATATTATGTACTTGAATCTTGGTGCCTTAAGTATATTTCTTTAAGTCGTAGATTTAGAAACACTAGCTGCAAACGTGAAGAGTAAAATTTATCTTTGATGTTAGGTATTTTTCCTATAATCCCATGTAGTGTTCGAACTGCAAAATAGAAAGTATCTTCTCTCCCTTGAAATGCAAATATTTTCATGTCATTACGGAAACGTGGGAAGAGAAACTGTAAACTTCAAATTCTTTCTTTCACCTTTTGCGCACAGCGAGGTTTTAAATACCATAAATGTCACAATTATTTACAGATTGGAATGCAGACCACCCTATCCTACTTCAGTTTAACCAAGATTGTGGAATTCACACCGTTCAATTTGATAAATAATCACACAGAGGTAAGAATGAAAATTTTTCTCGCTAGTTTCTTGTGAAATCAAGCTTGTTTTTTCCCTGTCCAACTCACTAATGTCACAGAGTCTGCAGTTTTTACCTTTTCCCAAATGCTCCTTTGTTTCGCTGTAGTACCCAGTGTCGCTGACAGACTCAAGGGGGCCAGACGCGACATGGACTAAAGTTCAACCAGGAGAGGTGTGTTTTCCTTTCATCTTTCTCAATTTGTCTTATATTTCGTTTATTTTTCGTTTGGAGCCAGTGTGGCTGGGTTTGTAATCTGTGGTCACGTAGACTAGGAACAATTCCTCCTTTCCCGCAAAGTCCGTCGCACGAGTCAAAAAAAAAGGAAAAAAATCAGTGAAAAAAATTGATGTTAACGCGCTGCGAGGAAGATTTTGGAGTGACGCCGATGCGCCGCTGGAGCTCCATGAGTCAAGCGCTGGAAAAGTGGGGACCCTACTTTTCGAGCGCCTTACTCATGGAGCTCTTGAAGAGCATCGGCGTCACTCCAAGAGTTCCCCCCAGCGCGCTAACAGCAATTTTTCCTCTGATTTTATTGACTTAAGAGACAGACTTCGCCGAAAAGGAAGGACTGCTCGTAGTCTAGTGGTCCCGGTTTCAAATGCTCCACCTTGCAGCTCACTGGATTTGTTCTCGGTTTTCTCAAGTTCAACTCCTTGGCTGTGCTTTGTGTATAGCCAACTGGTCTGCCTTCTGTCAGTTGTTGTTTTAGAACGCTATGTTTATTCACACTGTTTCAATTTTTTCGTGTTGGCCTTGATAAGCTCCACTGGGGTAGTTGTCAATTACGTATACATACATAAACACAATTATTTGTCTCGGTGTTATAGATTAGGTTTGATCTGTTGGCTTCAAGTCACATTTGCCTTGTACCCATCGGTGTCCTGAAGCCTATAATACGACAAACTACGTGTTTGTTTGTTTGAGTGTGTAGTCTGATCAACCAGATGAGAGTAGTTTTGAAAAGAAATGTTGTTGGTAGACACTGTGGCTGAAGTTTCGACAACTTGAGCACAAGTTGTCATCAGAGTCAGTTGTCGAGTCACTTGACTTTGATGATGACTTCTGCTCCGCTCGTCGAAAAGTCAGTCAAAGTTACCGTAAACGGTCCTTTACAGAACTACTCTTACCTGGAGCTGCAGACTGCACGATCAGCAGATACACTTGGGTTCAAACCATTCACTGGCTGTTTGTTTGTTTTTCTTTAGTGTATACCATTCTGGCCAAATTCGTGCCCATCCAAGAACCTGGCTATCAGGGTTGGGGACAGTGAAGAATTATCATCAAGCTTTAACTTCGAACCCGACATTACATTGCTGCTAAGAATGAACGGAAAGGTGTGTGGAGACTCATTTTTCCCAATGCAACTGAAAGCAAAAAACCTCTTAAATGGTTGTACTAAAACTGTCGTATCCTGAGCCCTCTCTGAGATCAACCTTTCCTTTTCTTTAGAGAATTCTGTCGATTTGTTTACGGCAATGATTTATTGAAATAAAGTTCTAAGAGCCTTGCGATCCTGTTATCATTCATTTCTTACAGAGAAAATTTTAATCGATGGGCCAAGGTTATTTGCGATTGGTTTATGTTCGCTCTACTTTCCGACGAATTCTGTCCAGCACACTAGTGCCACTCTCAACCAATCAGATTCAAAAGTAAAATTGACCGTGACTTGATTACCTGTGTTTTCCCGCGGTTGAGGCGGGTTGCTTGTTTTTACCTTGAGTTCTCATTGGCTCAGGGGAGCAGGGATGGCGCAGTGGTGAGAGCACTCGCCTCCCACCAGTCTGGCCCGGGTTCGATTCCCGGACCTGGCGTCACATGTGGGTTGAGTTTGTTGTTGGTTCTCGTCCTTGCTCCGAGGGTTTTTCTCCGGGTCCTCCGGTTTTCCTCCCTCCGCAAAAACTAATATTCCAAATTCCAATTCGATCTGGAAACATTGGACAAGAAGAGCCACCCAGTGGAATGTCCATTGCTAAATTATTATTTATTATTTATTTATTTATTATTTATTTATTGGCTCTTTGAGAAATTTTCGTTCCTTTGATTGGCTGTTCTGATTACTATTGTTCTGGTTTCACGGCACTCAATAGAGCTTATCCCAGTTCCTGTAACATGAAGTTACAAAGAGTATTTTACTATCGCTAGACGTGATGCGAGATCACCGTAGATACAGCTGCTGGCACTCGTTGACACTCCTGGGTGGAGAGAGGCACTTTAAGACAAAAGTGTCTTGCCTGACAATACAACAGGATGACCCGATCAGGTCTCAAATATGGATCTCACGGGAACACCATTCGCAACCTATTGACATAGAACTGTCTTAAAAGAGAACCGTAATCGTTTGTCTCACAATGTGGTCATTTTGGGTGTGGATCGCGACGTTTCGACTGCATACTGCTAATTGTAATTTACCACGATGAATAAACACAGCCTGCTTTACGATATAACTATCTTATTCTCAGGTTGGGGCTGTGTGTGCCGACATGCGAACAAAAGATTCCGCTGCCATCACAACTATCACGCCATATTTTGCTGGAGCAGCCACTGTCAGGCTAGAGAACTGCACTCAGCTGGAGATCTGCTATAAACAGGAAGGGTGAGCTGATGAGTAAATTTGTGTTTTTGACTCAGCTTGTGATAAAGCAGCTAAACATCGGCCAAATTATGTTTTGTGTGTTTTGTCAAACGAAAGGAAGTAAGACGAGGCCATCTCGACCCAACAGACTTGTTCAGTACTGGTTAATTAGCAGATAAGACCAGATAACTGGAAGATACAATTTCTAAATATTTCTTGGTTACTGCAAAGTTTTGTAACTGAAGGTTGCTGTGTTTTTGCGACTCTTTAACTATGAAACTGCTTTAAACCTCCTTTTATTCAAGAAAGAAGTTACAGAGGTTGTAAGTTTTGTAAGGTCGCCAAAGGCTGGTTTAAGGGTGAATCCGACCTTGAGAAAATTGAAAATCGCAGTCGTCAGTGGAGCCATAAGCTTGAGTCCGAAGAATTAGACCTATTCCATTTTCGTATGATTTTGCTTAGACCCCGACATCTTCTGATTGCGTGAAAACTGAGCCTTTCTCAATCTATCCTATGGCTCAATCTATCCTATGGCTAACGACTATAACAGTTTAGTTTTCACATACCATAAGCGTCGGAATCACAAGTGGCATCCCTACTCTGCTGTCGATTCCTTCGGTTTTATTTTCACCGGATCATGTCGCTCTGCAGTTTTGATAACGACTCCGTCTCCGATTCCGTTTCTGACATTAATGCTCTGATTTATATTTTTCTTTATTCTCATCACTTGTCTGCTTGATATTGTATTAATATTGTAAGGAGAAATTCTGTCTTGGTCAATCTTTGGATTTGAAGGGTTAATAGTAACAGGGAGGAACGCCGTGCTAGGTAAACGCCAAATTGCCCTGAATGTACAAGATATTAACCAGTTATTAGCATGGAAGAAGGAACACAGACGTGGGTAAAAGCCAAATGTCTATCAGCAGAAGTAACTATTAGCTCGCTTCCTTATTGTCATCTTAAGCGCTTCCACAACTTGTTTTTCAGTTGCAAAGAACATTGTTTGCATGCCAACCAGAGTGTTTTGTTCACATGGGATGAACCTACAGCCTCGAGAGAGTTTGTCTGGTGTGTCAAAGGATCTGAAAACAGAATCATCACTAAATTGTCACAAGTATGTAGTATTGTTGTTGATGCATTGACAGCGCTCGCTTTTTCGCAGAGCAGGGCAAGTAATTATTTTCATTATTATATGGCTGTGTCTCACAAGGACTGGGAACTACCGAATTCACGAATTTGATTGGCTGAAATCAATATTGAAAGCGGTCTAGATTCTCCCATCTAGACCGGCATCTAGACCGGTCTAGAAAAAAAGGTACAAAGAATATAAAAAATTGGTATATAAGACACAGCCATATAATAAACATCTTGTTAACCGAGCTATGTCGGTCTGTATGGGAGAGAGAATCTTGACCTCGGTCGCTGGTACAGACCTCACTGCGTTCGGTCTGTACTGGCGACCTCGGTCATGATTCTCCCATACAGACCTCCCGCTCGGTTAATAAGAACTAAGTATCGCCAAGGAGAGGGAAAGGGGGGGGAGGGGCAAAGGATTTTGGTTGTATCACAATGAAACTAACCTAACCCCCACCCCTCAGGCTCTGTAGTATTCTAATGATCCTCTCTCATTGACAGTCATTTTCTATAGTCCCCTCTTAATACTTTGGTAGCGACAACTGACCCCTCTCCGCTCCCCCTGAAAACCATGTGACTCCCAAAAAATTTTTACCCCCTCCCCCCTAGGCGATAAATGATGACTGCTCCTTTCAAAAATTGTTCAGGTCACCAAGGAGCTTTTCATACGTGGCCAGTTCGCACGACGGATTTTGTCTTCCAATCATGTGAGAAATTCAAGCGTGTTCAGCGAACCGAAATTCAGTCAGACGTCAGTCCATATTGAAAATTTTAGTTTAATTACCAAGATGAACAAGAAGCAATTTTTAAAGCTTCCCTCCTCCAATAAGGCCTAAACTGTCGTAGCAGTGGCTTCACATATCTCGTGTTCGCGTTTAGCTGGAAAAGAAAACCCTGTTCCTGTATGGTGAGCCTGGCCCGCCCGCTTCTAACTCAGAATTTTTAGTTTAGTATAAGTCCAAGGCTTACCTTGTTGCAAATCGACGATGCACCGCTAAGTACCTTTTGTTAGAGTCATGTGATAATGATTTTGTTCTGCTTTACCTGTAGACGATGTTTGACAGGTTTGAGCACGATGGTAAGGCGTTTCACTATTCAACCTTCCTGGACGGTCTGCAACGAGTTCTCCTTATCATTGATGACTTTACATTGGCGTACAGAGCTCAAGTGGTAATTGTTTCTTTTGTTGCAGTAGATACTGAGCGAATTTAGCCCAGTGCTTTTGTGTTAGCCGCTTCATCTGTTGAATCAAAACTTGCTTTGCTCACTATGAGTTCTTCCCACGAACACTCTCCTCGCAATGAAGTTCTTTCTCCTTTAGTCACTAGTCGCACTGTACGTCCAGGACATCTGTGAGGCTTACATCAACTCGCCCGAAGCTAATATTCCATTTTGTTGACTTTTCTTACCAAGGAACTAAAAGAGCGCCCCTCACTGTGCATCACTATGGCACTTCAGGGAGTTGGCATGTCTCTTGTGAACAATGAAAAAAGTATCGAGGTGGCATACATCGGGATTAAACCGTAAGAGCCTTTTTTTTCATTTTCTCTTTCTTGTTCCTTACACTGGTGAAAATAATAGCTTTAAAAGTTTACTCCAGATAGTTTTTGAGTTGGTTAAAATTGAACTAGTTGGGTATCTTTTTTTGCCTGAAAAAGTAAAGGTTATTTCTGGTCATGTATCAAAAATCTGGGATTTATTACTGTAGGAGTGACATTATCTGGGAAGAGCAGAAGAAGAAAGGGCGATGGAAAGCTCTCAAGTTACGCCTCTGCAATGAATTAGAAGTAGGTTGGAGTAAATTGCAGCGGGATAAGGCCGTAGTAGACACACCGAATTATATATACAAGAGTGGCGATTTGGAGGCAAGTATCTGTCTTTTTTGTTCTTGTTGGTCAATGGATTAGGGATAAGCAAACTTATTGGTGCTGTGAATCAGCGTTTACCAGCTCATTTAAGTGGGAGGCGCAGTAGCCTAATTTTGGTCGCGCTGGACGTGAGATGGTGACGTCTGGATTCGAGGTGTGGTGGGGGTCATTGTGTTTTTGTCCACCTAGGAGTGTTAATGTGCATCAGCGAACTACTAGTGGAACTTGACGAAGACGAGTATTTGCCTGCATTCCGCACAGTATTGTGGAAGCCGCGGTGATGTAATGTTAGGCGCATTGGACTCCGGTTGGTCAGGTCCGGGATCTTGCCTTGAGGGTGGTCCAGTACTTTTGTCCACCCGGGAGAACAAACGTGCACCAGCAAAGTGACAAGGAAAGTTGACGAGAAGCTGAAGGGAACATCCGCGATGGATAAGCATCTCTCTTAAGAGGAATGGCAATACTCCTAGTTATTTTATACCGTGGAAACAGGGATGAGTACTGAAAGTTGTGGGCGACAGATTGGCTCGTGAAAGAGCAACATCTTCGGGAGAGCTCAGGGGATCATCAGCTTTCTAGTCATGTTTTCTCTAATAGCAAGCAATATTCACCGAGGAACCTAACGTGCAAGAACATTATGTTTTCTCATTTTGTTTTCTCATTTTGTTTTCTCATTTTGTTAGACGTTCTTAGTAACTGTTGTCCACCATTTTCAGGTTGATTTTCAACAAATGGAGATTGTGCGGCCAACACGGCAGCACATCAGAAGAACATTTAGTCCAGGGATTTCATTGGAGTACACGTCGTCGCCAAATGAACTCACGCTTTCTACAAAGATTAATTCGGTTCAGGTGAGCGAGAGAAAAACTGTGGCTGACAAGACTCAAATCATTTTAGTAAGCACAGTGAAGTAGATAACTTAGTTCTACCTCTTTTGGTAACCTAGCTAACACTGTAAACCTAGTTCAGTTTCTTAAAACGAAAAGTAACTAAGGTTTGTTTGCCCGTTGAGGGTGAACAGTATGATCGTTAAGACGTCATCAGTTTAAATGAGGATGTTTGTACCTTCTCAGATTGACAGCCAAATCCCAAGTGCCACCTTCCAGACAGTGCTCTTCCCAGTCCCCCCTCCCAAGTCGATCGCTGCTGATAGTGGTAAGTACCGGGGGTGTATGTATCCTCCTTGCAAAGTGATTGTAAAAAATATAACAAACTTCTCGATTGTGATTGGTCATTAGCAGCTCGATTTGAGCGCTCATCGGACAGTTAACCCGTATGCTATTGTGATTGGACAGGACGCGTCATTTTTGCGCCCTGTAATGTGGACTACATGTATTGAGTACGTTTTCTCAAGGAAAAAAGACGATTCGGATGTTTTTGTTTCTGGATACGTCTGACCGATGGGCATTTTGTCTGCTAAATTATGTCATTCGACTTCGGCTTTAATCAGACCTAACTAGACTATCTAATTACCATCATTAGAGCAGTTTTCAATTGAGCCAAAGTACAACCTCGTTCCCAGGGTATCTCATCTTCCTGCTCTCTGGAGCGAGAAAAGGGGCGCAAAGATGAGAGACCCTGGGAACGAGGTGGAGCCAAAGTAATCAGAACTATCCATCAGAACAAAGGTTAAAATCACTGTCAACCGTTAAGAACTCATAGTAAAAACAGGTAATCTGCTCGAAGCGCGGGAATACGCGGGTGACCAAGTTGGGATTGTTGCATTGATTGGTTGAGATGGTGGTACGATTTTTTTTTTGACGAATCACAGAGAGAAGTTTGTAAAACCAAAGCAATCCAGGATCACGTTTGATAATCAATGGAAAATTGCCCTTATCAGTAAGATTATGTTTTAGAACCAAAGCCGTACATTGAATTGAGTTTAGTCACCAAGCAAGAGGAGCACACACACGTCAATGAAATCAAGTGAGTGGTTTGGAAAATAGAACTTAGTATAGTAAACATTTACCCTAGAACTTCACATTTCTTCCTAAACCCCTTCAAGATCTCATGACTATTCTACAATCCACGACAAAATGAGACGACACACAACACTCGCCTACTTTAAAGTAATTAATAGCAAATAAAAGTTAAAAGTGAATTGCAGTTCTCTGCAATGTCCCTTGTCCCATTCAGAGTTGTGCAAGAACGGAAAATTGGGTGCACCGTTGCACAGGAGAGAAGGGAGGAGAAGATGAAAGTAAGGGGACTGGGGATAAAATTGGTATGCTATTCCAGAATATTGTGATCTCGGAGGAAATTTGCCGAGGGTTTTTGTCGCAAATTGCAGGTTACTCTAGGTGTTTGTTATATTGAGCATTCAGATCATTGATTCCTCTGATTTCACTCAACAGTTGGCTGGGTTCATTTAGTTGTACGCTCTTCTTACTCAGGTACTTCAAGGTTCTTATTCAAGAGATGGACTTAAAAGTCGATATGGCCTTCCTCATGGCCTTGCTTGGACTGATTTCGTTTGATACCACTGACAGAAGCCAAGAGGTAAGAATTTGTTAAGCAGGATTCATTAAGATTGCGAATGCGTTTAACTGCGTCAGGCTGCATATCCCTGAGGTACGATAAAACCAGAACAAAGTAACCAGAATGGCAGATGAGAACTTGAAGCTCAGTTGAAGTGCGGGAAATCGCTAGTGCTTGTTTTTAGTGTAGCATCTGATTGGTCGAGCAATCGGCACACATTTTACGAGCCAATTACAGGAGGAAGTGACCTCGGTGAAGCAAAACTACTTTCATCGTGATTAATTTTTGAAAATCTCCTTATTTTATGTCTGGAAGCTTTTTTAACAGTTATCTCAAGGAAAAGACGCTGTATACTTAAAATACCTCCCGTGAACACAGTACGTTTATCCCCACAGGCCAGCCAGTATGCTTTGGACAAAAAGCGGGTTCATGACAAGCTTGGAGAGGCCTTTGCTGTTCAGGTCGGTAATTCAGTGGTCGTGAAATTATGCCTGTTTGTAATGTAGTCATTTAGAAATACACGCGTATTTATTGGTTTTTTTTTTCCTCCAGGCTGCCCTAAGTACTGACAGAAATTTCTTCGACTTCTTCCATCTATCACCATTGAAGGTATCGTTTCCGGTTGTCAACCGGAACCAGGCTTCATAATCATATCGCTTGAATGACGCATCAACAGACAAAAAATTAACGAATGAGCGGTAGAATTTCTAGATTGCTTACCCAATCCAGTTTCACTTCTTTAGGGGCGCATTTCGATTGAAAATTATAAAACTAAACGAAAGAAAGACAGGCAAAGGGAAATTACCATGAGCTGCCAACTAGCCTACGTTTTGTCGTACCGAATAGAAACGGTTTTCCAGGAGGGAGGGTATGGCTACACGTAAGTTAGGTGCCAAAAGAAACTAAAAATAAAAATAGGCAAATTGCCATGATGACGTGAAAACAAGAGTGACGTCACGGTTGGTTTTTTGTTCGTCTATGATTGATTGAGAAGATGGCCCAAGTGTTCTCGATCAATCCCAGAGCGAAGTAAATTCGAGCCATTGTCATGACAGATTACTTTTGAAATTCAATGGGAAATCGGTTTACGGACAAATTCACAAGATCTCCTCTCCCATGAAAGAAGTGGAGGACGTGTAATTATGCTTTAATCAGGTTGCGCAACCTTTCCGCGGCGCTATGATTAGTCAAGGTTGAAAAGAATACCATCCTCGGTGGTAAAATATTTAGTTATGTTCGCAACTTAACTCATTTTAACCAAATGGCGATGTGATCATGTGACTAATGAGAGCGATAAACGTTTTCGCCCCGCCTTGAAATATGAACTTTGATTTTCCCGCAGATTCACGTTAGCTTTTCTCAGCTGGGTGGCGGCGCTGAAGCCGAGAAAGCTCAAGCAGCTATCGGTGGCAGTTTTGTGAGCTTGTTGCTCAAGAGTGTCGGAGTAGCAGTCACCGAAGTACAAGATGTAGAATTCAAGTGGGTGACATTTTCTTCAGCAATAAACTTGTTCGATAATTTTGTTATGATCGGTGGCGTGTTTTTTCAGCCATTAAGTTTGCAATTGCGACCCTATGTTTCTCCCTTTTGGTGTAAGCAATAATAATGGGCTCAAATTGAGGTGATTACTGTATCATTCATTCAGAAGTTGACAGAAAAATTAAATCGTTGATTTGTTATTGTCGTGGAGTTATGTTTGAATCAAAAGCTAAGTTGGTGAAAGAGCTGACCGAACCAATGCTGCGGGCTCTGTACTCAGTTCTTAGGAAAAAAAACTGTTTGTTAGGGGGTTGGTGACCTACTTCCTGGTATAGAGTTGTGACCTATTTATCAGCGTTTTCATGCCAAACTTCGAAGAAGAGCTTTCCTAACAGTTTCGTCTCTGCCGTATTTACAGGCTTGCATATTTCGAAATAAGGGGCAAAGTTTACACGCAGCAGCAGTTGATAGACGTCGCTGTCAAGCATTACTCCAGTCAGGTGAAACCATTACTCTATTATGGAAGACGTACTGGACTTCGGGTTCAAGGGCTCGGGTTCAACCACCGTGTTGTGTTCTAGGCCAAGACAGTTTTCTCTTACAGTGCCTCATTCAATCTGTATAGCTGGGTACCGGCGAACTGTCAGGAAAACGTGACAAAATCCGGAGGGAGGGCTGCGATAGATAAGCATTTCATCCATGAGTAAACATACTCTAAGTTGCCTCGTGCCACAGAAACCAGTCAAGCACCTGCCGCTTCGCTTCTAAGTCTTAACCTTCATTTAATTGATTTTGGCAGATAGGTAAGTGGACCATAATTACAGCAATAAGGATTAATTATGTCGTTTTCTTTATGATTCTCAGGCTTTAAAGCAGATGTACGTGTTGGTACTGGGGCTTGATGTATTGGGAAATCCGTTTGCCTTGATTACTGGCCTGAAGGAAGGAGCGAAAGACTTCTTTTACGAACCCTACCAGGTACGTTCAGGCGGATGACTTTGAAAGACGAATGGTACACCGTCTTCACTCAGTCAGTCGGTGGGTGACCAAAGCAATTGGGCTATTCTTAAGCGTTTGTTATTATAATTATTGTCATTATCATTATCTTTATAGCTATCATGATGTATCGATACTCTTTTTTTTTAATTTGTCCTCTGATGTAAACTGGAACAAACTACAATTCACACACATGTAAAACATTTCTGTACGGAAGGACTGTTTCCAGGCCCCTCTTAGACACTGGTCAGAAAATGAGCCAGCAATCCTTCTCAAAGTATCTTCGTGGGTAGAAACAAAGATAGAAGTCGACAGACTTGCAAAAACCGAGACAAGTATGAGCACTGTTTCTTTTGTTTTGTTTTAGGGTCTCATCCAGGGTCCTGGTGAGTTTGCAGAAGGTTTGATGATTGGCGCCAAGAGCTTGCTTGGACACACTGTCGGTACGTTGAAGTCAATTTTTGCCTTCACTCTCCTTGGTTCTGTTGCTTCTTGGACTTGTTCCCACGCTGGACAACGAAATCGTTAAGGTCCGGGTTCGAGACCTGGCAGGGTCATAGTGCTGTATTCTCGTGTGTTCGTTTCATTCCTTATGTCTCTCTCTATTTTGTGGTACTATCAGGGAAACCTCACGAATTGTTGGAAGGTTACTTGCGATGGTCTAATTTCCCTCTTAGAGGATACGGACGCTTGGATAAGGTGCAGCATCGCGCGCCACTTTGCTCGTTAACCCTTTCACACCTAACAGTGGCCAACATCTAACTTCTCCTTACAATATCACCCCTGAATCACACATTCTGGTCAGGAGAATAAAGGAAATGATCACCAACTAAATGAACTGATTGTTAAACAAATTCTCCTCGTCAGTTTTTGGGAATGTGTAGAGAACAGTAGGGAGAATATGCTTCGTGATGTTAGGGCATAAAGGGTTGAACGTAAACTTTTGACAGCTTTAACTGACTTTTTTTGTTGATTGACGCTTGGAAATATGGACTCTTTTAATCTTGTTTGTTTGTTATCTCAGGTGGTGCAGCTGGCGCTGTCTCTCGTATAACCGGAACGCTGGGCAAAGGTATCGCGGCACTTACAATGGATGATAAATACAAACAGGAAAGGAGACAGGCGATGGGAAAGAAACCTGTCAATGTCAAAGAAGGACTCACAAGGGGTGGGAAGGGACTTTTGGATGTAAGTGCTGACTTAAGAGTGCGTTCATAACTTTGAAATAAGAGGTCCATAAAATAAAGATCATGAGAACTTGGAGTTATAGACGCAATAAAGGAATATTGTCTCTTAGGAGGCGTTGTCTTGACGTAACATGTTTTTTTCCCAGTATTTTACAGCATGTAGACGTAGACTTTATACATTGGGCATTTGTGCACTTTTCGAATGAGTTTCACAACACCAGAACCAAAGAAATCACTCCGGCCAGTCAGGAGAAGGAAACTTTCACACGAAATTAATAGGGCCTCCAGAGAAAAACCAAACAAAACAAAACGAGAAAAAAGCAACTGAATTTTTTTAAGCGCGGAGAAACGCACGTGACCAGGTCGTGATTGGTGCTAGCGAGTGATAAGAAACCATCGCCTATTACTTAAGACATTTAATTGAAAATTGTTCGTTTGTTTTGTTGGTTTTAGGGCGTTCTGGGAGGTGTAACAGGAATAGTAACCAAACCAATGGAGGGTGAGTTCATTAAAAACTGCCCCTGTTACCGTCTTTCAACAGGGATTTTATTACATTACCAAACAGTGTGTCATTGAGATATCTGTTTTCCTTGACTTGACTTTTTTCTTTTTTGCAGGCGCAAAGTCTGGTGGTACAGCGGGGTTTTTCAAGGGACTGGGGAAGGGCGTGGTTGGTGTGGTGGCGCGTCCTGCGGGAGGTTTGGTTGACTTTGCAAGCAGTACATTGGAAGGAATTAAAGGGTGAGTAACAACGTTAAAACTTTACGCTTTTTAAAGTAATATTTATTTTTCGTCTTGTCACGAGCGTGAGACAATGAAAACAATCCGGGTCCACATCAGGAATCAAATCTCAGGTCTTCGAATTCCGCGCTCCAATGTTAAACAACTGAGCCTCCGAGAGTTCTATGGTAAGTTGGCCATAGCTAGATCCACATGTGATTTCACTCTCTTGTACCTTTCTCTTTTTCATGAGATTAATTGAAAACTCAAATGGTGGAACTTAATTATTCTATTGTCCAATTGAATTCGAAATAGTTTTGGAATACAACACTGACTTACCAGTCTAGAAAGCTATTGACAGTAATATTTTTCTGCCTATGAACAAAGGTCGAAGTTTCTGAGCTCAATTTTTGGAATTTGTCATGTTTACCGGCCGTCGGTTGAAATCGAGCTTCCTTCTTTGCAGTTCTGCCAGCAGTGGGAGTGGAATTGGACGATTAAGACCACCCAGATGTTTTTACGCTGACAAGGTGACGGACACATTTCGTTTGCCGTAGCTCTTTCACTCCTAAGATGTCTGAACTAATTCTTCTTACTATCTGCCATACAGTTTATATGATGTTAGTTCGGGGAATTTGGTATTGGATCAACTAATAATCCCCTATAAACGGATATACTCATTTATTTGCTCAGGTGATAAAGCCATATAACCGACACGAAGCCGAAGGAAACGCTGTACTGCAGGTAACGTTATGATAATGGCCTTATATGCAGTGCGCGTGAACCTTGAGTAATGGTCTTTTTTCCACTTAACCAGGAAACGAAGAAGACGAGAGCTGTCTTGGCGGACGATACTTATTTCTGTCACAGTCGTCTTAATATCAAGAAAGTTCTTCTTATCACAAACAAGTAAGTTTTGATACTAACGATAAAGCGTCGATTGTGGTCGCCGTATCTCTTTATCATTCAACGCAATTTTTTTACACATTTAAATGGAATTTCACATAGCTGACTACTTGGGGGCAAATCTGGTCAGTAGTGTTTTGTAGACTTTCTATTATCGTCGTAGCCGTCTGTTAGCATTCGTACAGCGTTTGTTGCATTCGTTAGCGTTTGCAGCAGTCAGGTGGTTATTGGAACTCTGAGCCGTCCTTGTCCAGAGGTATTCCTTATCAGTCCATGCGTTGGCTTTCCAATGTGCTTGCATTGTGTTTGCTGTTGGATAGCGTGACGGGCGCTTGTAGGGGGCCTGACGTGGAGGAGCTCGTGGCTGGGTTACGGGTCGGGCAGGCCAGTCGGGTGTACTAGCTCCTTGTAGTGCAACTGCAGTTGCTGTCCTTGGGCACCTAGCCTCCATTTGCGACTCGGGCGTTAACTTTTTTCTATTATTCGAGAGCCAAGTTCGGGACTAGAGCTGAAATGACAGCCCTTACATAATGGTCTGCTCATGCGTAATATCGTCTAAATATGTTTTCTTTCTAAAGTCTTGCTGTTTATGCGTGGATGTATCTCCGCTCTGTGGAGAAAAATGGACGATTTTCTTAAAGTTTAAAGGCTGAAAATAAACATTGAATAGAATACCGCCTATGTTAAAACTCATCTAGTATAAAATAAGGATTTTGCAGTGTCACGTAGTTTAGTTGATTGCCGAAGCAGATGGCTTAATGGTACTTTGTTCAACTTAGTCCAATAGCTGTTGGCAAAGGGGAATTTTTTCTGTTTTTAGTCATATTTAAACGTCATTTTTTTGTTTTAAATTGGGTCTTGATTTTTATATCACCTTGGTAGACACATCATAGTTGCCGGTAAAACAGAAGTGTTTGAAGCGTGGCAAATTGACTGGATGTGTGGATTTCAAGAACTAACTGCGGAACCAACAACTGATGGAGAAAGACTTGTTCTAAAAGTGCTGGTAAGACACAAACATCGACGATACAATTGAGCGCTTTTCGATTAAGCGTTTTAAAGCCCAAACCAAAACCAAACTAATCACAAACGCCAATTTTAACAAAGGTAGATGTGAAAGGACTCAATGAGACTTCAGAATAAAAACCTGTAAATTGCCTTGGGCTGAGGAAAACAGAAGTTATGAGGTCGCAATTGGTTTCAGTTCTAGACTACAACCAGTCCCTCGTTTTCAGCGAAGTCCGTCGCGCGAGAAAAAAGAAATAAGTGAAATAAAATTGATGTTAGCGCGTCGCGCGGAACTCTGTGACTTCGCCGAAAAGGAGGGACTGGTTGAAGTATAGAACTGAGAACGTTTACATTCTTGTACTTCTGTATTTGATGTGCACCCGAGTCTTTAACATTTGAAATGTTTTGCTGGAACTGTCAAAGACCACTCTTCGTTTTTCAGTAATTAAACTGAACCTAACACATTTACTTTCCCCGTCGTTGTCTTTTAGGATAAAGCCAAAGCGAAAGGCATATTCAAACGGCAGTCAGCCGATACAAGAGTTTTAACGCCCAGTCCAGAAGTGGCTCAGGTAATTCTCTCCAGAAAATGAGGACCACTTATTTTTTTATC